AGAGAAGAAGACGGTGAAGAAAACGGTCAAAAATGGTGAAAACCGCTTGGAGGAATTTCTCGGCCAAATCGCGTACCGGACGGACAGAAACCTCGGTCAAAATCCTTACCGATCGCTCATTACCGGCCAAAATCCGTACCGATCGACCAAAGTCAGCCAGGGTCGAAGATCAGGCGTTAATACCGCGGGTTGAGTTTTGGCCGAGGCGAAAGAATTTTTACGACCAAAAAGCTCACCGCGGTACACAGCCCTCGGTCATTTTTCTTACCGCGGGAAGCTTTTCTCGACCAAAATCTGTCCTTGTCTGCGCAATTCAAAGATATGAAATCCGGGGAACCTTCCGGTCCGAATCAGTTGGCGAGGTCTTCAGCAAAGTTGGAGATAATCAAACAAAGATTCCAGAACAGTTGGAATCATCCAATTCGGACCAGTAGGGAGAAAGATACAGCTTCCGGAAGATGTACCAACATTACGCGCATCCGAGAACTGAACGGCGAAGTACAAAGGTCACGGCGGACGGAGCTTTTCCGGACCAAATCAGCTTGCCCGGTCTTCATCAAAGTTTGAGATCTGTGAAAGACCTTTTCAGAACAGTAGGGATCGCCCAATTCGGACGAGTGGTTTGAAAGATAAAGTCTCCGGAGTTCACATCGGTCCAAACAGCTTATTTTCCGGTGATTTCGATGCGGTTCAAAGATGTGAAATCCAGGAAGACTTCCACTACCCAAGCTCCGACGGTTTCTTCACCAAAGTTCGAGTTTATTGAGTCACCTTGACTATGAAACTGGTCTCAGAGCATTTGGAGTCGTGGGTCGAAAGTTACTGCTTCCGGAAGGCGACATGGTCGATACGGGCCCAAATATGTTGCGATACGCGCTAAGTGTTTCTTCAGGGCTCGGCATCATTACCTCGACATCGGCCAAGTCAAGGCTCATATTTTGGAAGTATCCTGAGCTAGACCTCGTACTGATACCTCGGCACGTTGGGATCAAGGCATGCACACGTAAGAATGGAGCTGGAAACGACTAAGTGTTGAACATGCACCTCGGTGTAGCGACCTCGGCGTGCATGCCGGACCCTGTTCTCCCGAACCCCTCGACGTCCAAGCGCCTCAGCATTTTATGCCGAGGTCCATTGTCACAAGCCCAGAATCAAGAGCAAAGCTGCTCAAGAACACACACGTGAAGATGGATCAAAGACTAGGGTTCATGCATGTTCTTGACGTGTTCTTCACGAGATCTTCATTTGGATCTGGACTCACGTGCACTCCTCGACATGAAGACCTCGGCTTCACTCTCCGACACACCGTGGCACTCACCCATCAACCCAAGAACGCGGTTCAGTACCCGGTTTGTTCCGGGCTGACCCGCGACACTTTACCTTTGCTATATATACATTTTGAGACTAAAAACCTAGGGATCTTATCTCTTATCTGTTTTTAGCTTTAAGAACTTGCCTTTTTGGTGAAACTTGATCATTCTAATTCGATATCTCGCTTTTGCATGAGGAATCTTGTTCCTTCTTTATTTCTTTGATCATCTAACATTAAACTCCTCATCATGACCAGCTACACGTCTTGCAAAGGACTTAGTGAGCTCGTTATGATTAGTGAGTAGTCGTTTAAGCGGCTTTAGACGAGTAGATTAGGGTGCTTTCAAGGTAGATCAGTGGGTTTAGGTGTCTAGTCTTGCATGTTTCATTCTTTAACCGACGAGATCTCTAGGCTGGATCGAAGCACATCACTTGAGGTTCAGATCTGAGACATATCTTGCATCAAAAGTGTTTGTAGAAATGTCTGAACCACTCGGTTATGGGTTTAAGAGTCTTTCATCGCGAGAGTGATAGTTTGTTCTCTTAAATGACATTTTTGAACTGATTCTCATTGCTGATTGATTCGATGCTTCTCAAAAGACATTTTTGGTATGAAGGAGGATCAATTTAGATGCTTAATACTTTCATGAGAAGATTAACATACCTTGAGTTCAAAGTTAAATGAAACCGCTTGATGTTTTGATTCATTAACCCACTAGTTAAACTTGGAAGCACCCGAGTCAAGTATCTCGTCTAAAGTCCCTTGCTTTATTACATATTATCATCATCTGAATCGTTTAGTTATTATTTGCATCTTTGCTTTGTTTGATTCTCATCATTTACTTTACTTACATACTTAATCGTTGTTATTCAGCTTAGTAAAACCTTCACCTTTTTTATCTTGACTTAAATAAACAAACATCATAGTCTAGTGTCTCGTTGACAAGTCTGGATTGATACCTCTTTGTGCTACTTCGACAAAGGGGATTGATAGCCCTGAGATCTAAAAAGACCATATCTATCAACACATCCGCACTTGGTGATATCCTGCCCGTAAGTCAATCTTTGAGTAAATGCTGGAACCACCCAACTCATCCATTAGATCCTCAATGAGTGGAATAGGGAATCGATCCTTAACTGTCAATCCATTCAGTCCTCGATAATCCACACATAATCTCCACGACCCATCTTTTTTTTTAACCAACACAACAGGTGAATCAAATGCACTAGAGCTTGGTTGAATTGTACCTCCTTTCAACATGTCTTGTACGATCTTATCAATCTCGTTCTTCTGTTGGATTGCATATCTATAGGGTCGTTGATTTATTGGATTTGCACCTTCGATCAGTTGGATCTTATGATCATGATTAGCTCGAAATGGAGGTAGTTGTCTTGGCTCCTCAAAGATATCCGAATAATCATGAAGTAGTTCTGTAATGGCAGGATTGGTTTATGTTTCTGACATTTCTGTATTCAAAGAGAATAGTGTTGCTGCTTCGTGTTCTTCTTCATACGACACACACAACATAGATAACTCCAAATTAGTGTCCTGTTGCTTCTTCAACCTTTCAGCTTTAACACTTCTCACAGATCCGTCCTTAATTCCATGTAGCACCACTCGTCTTTGATTATATTCAAATTTCATTGTCAGCTTTCTAAAATCCCAAGTGACCGGACTGATGGTTTCCAACCACTGAACACCCAATACACCATCACATCCGTTCAACGGAATAGCCATGAAATCTGCAGTGAAATTTGTTCCTTGAAACTCCCATTTAAACTTGTCAATCCGAGCCTGTACTGATAATCGGTTACCATCAGCTACAATCGCCCTAGCATTTCCCGCCGGTAAGAGAGGACAACCCAATTTTTTAGCCACATTAGTATCCAAGAAGTTATGAGTTGAGCCTGAATCAATGAGAAGAAAAAGGGCTATTTTTTGATAGAGACCTTTTACCCTCATTGTATCATGAGAAGTGATTCCTGAGATGGCATTGAATGAAATCTTTGCTACCTCTCCTTCAGGCTGTTGATTCTCTTTATCTTCTTCTGTCCACTCTTCCTGATAATACTCAGGTTCCATTTCCATCAAAAACAATTGAGCCTTCTTATGCACTTTGTAATGTTCTGGTGAGAATTTCTCATCACAAAAGTAACATAAGCCTTTAGCTCTCCTATCATTCATCTCCTCTGTTGATAGAAACTTCCGAGGTTGAACCACAGGTGCTTTCATTTTATCTCCTTCCTGTACAGCCGTAAAATCTTTTCTGAATGGAATCAATCCTTTCGATGTTGTGGTCGCTTTCGTTGATTGCCAATTCTGAGATTGTTGCTTCTTTGGGCGAGCCGTTTCATAGAGTTTTCCCAACATCAAGCATTGTCTCACTGTTTGAGGCTGAAACATTCTGATGTGCATCTGAGTGTCTGCACGTAATCCAGCTAGATATGCACTCACCAGGTATTCTTCAGACATTTTGATTCTTGATCGAATCCGCTCAAACTTCTTATGGTAATCAATAATACCATCAACTTCCTGTAGTTGTTTCAGTTCAGCCATCGGATCAGCCCAAAACTCATCAAATCTTCCTTTCAACATCTCCTTATATGCTGACCAATCTGTTAGATTCTGAATTCCCAATTCTTCAATTAAAGATTGATGCCAAGATGCTGCATCTTCCTCTAAATGTATCGATACCACCAAAAATTTGATTTCCTCAGGTGTATGATCAATTTTGAAGAATTGTTCCACTTTGAATAGCCGGTCCTTCAATTTATCACCACTAAACCTAGGAAAATCCAGTTTTGCAAGGCGCGTGACTCCGGTATAGTTAGGAATGTTACCTGATAGTGTGCCATTCGTCGGATCTACGGTAACTCGAGCTGGAGCTGGAGACGAGTAGGTTATGTCTCGCTTTGCACTCGAAGTCGATCCCCCTGGTTTTTGAAGAAGACGTATTGCTTCGAACATATCGGCTACCGTTTTCTCCATTTTCTGATTTTGCGAAGCTATCGTTTCTTCCAAAGTCGTCGTTCGACGAAGAACCTGATCCATTCGAGAGCCAAGATCTTCTTCTACCACTTTCGATGTTGGTTCTTTTCGTGAAGCCATAGCACGTGTTTCCGCCATAGATTCCGAAGCGTCTGATACCTTTGATACACACAAATCCAATTATATTCGATTTCACCAAACTTGAATCCAATGTTCAATACAAACAAAGAATCCAATAGTTCTACTTACAAGAATCTGGATACAGAAAGATTCAATGTAGAGGAAGAACTGAGAATTACAAGAGAGAATTTCCAGATGAGAAGAAACTGTAACAAACTTTCTCAGAATAAATCTTCTTCTTCGTCTTGACTCAGCTAAATATCTGTTACTTTTTCCATTAAATCTCCACCGTAAATTCTTCTTTCAAGTTCCACCGTCCATAAGTTCCACCGTCCATGTGTCCGTATAATTGCTGCGTATTATTTACTATATCACTTTTGAAAAAATTTAGGGTCACATGTTTTATCCGATTGACCATAAACTTTGGCAACAATGTTCTGCACAGGATCACATTCAAGTATTAGACTCATTATTCTCCACTTTGCGAAGTTCTCCAATTCTTGATTCCTATTCCCTACCATTGTCAGATCCACGAAGAAGCCTCATGTTGGTTTTTAAAATAAAAACAAAATTAGTTTAAAAAAATTGTGGAGATGCAGGAGATCGAACCCTGTGCCTCTCGCATGCAAAGCGAGCGCTCTAAGTGTGGACGATTTGGAAGATATAATTGGAGGGCATGAGCTACATCCCCTTGGTTACAAAGATTTCACATTTTCTAAAATTGAAAACAGTTAACCAATATGAGCTTCACCTCTTATCTCCAAGCGAGCCGCGTAAAAGTAATCGGAGCAAAATCTCCGGTGGATCGCCGCCGTAAAGCGCTTGAGAGAGTGAATAAAGAGCTCTCTAGAGGCAATTACGAAACTGCCCTCTCTCTCGTCAAGCAACTCAAAGGCAAACATGGCTGCCTCTCTGCCTTCGGCTCTGCTAAACTGGTCTCTCTCTCTCTCTCTCCTCTCTAAAACTCTCTCTTTCTTGCTTACTTGTAATTACAATCTTCTTCGATTTTTTGTGTGTTTAGCTTCCCAAGAAATCACCAGAATTGGTTAAATTAGACCCGTTGATCGATTCAGTCTCCAGAAGCATTGAATCTGTTTCTTCCGAAGCGGTATTTGCTTATTGCCATCGATTTTGTTTTTATTCAGTGTGTTGATCTTCAATTTTTTTATCTTTTACGCCAAAACTGGTTTTATAATTTGCAGAGTTCAGTGGGAATATTCAAAGGGGATAAAAGTAAAACTTCTTCACCTGAAGAAGATTGGTTCGCTGTTGTTCAGGTGAAATCTTGTAGCCAATATGAGTTTTTTCATTGTAGTTTATGTTAATTTTATCTCTATTTGAACATGCTTTTATTGCCTAGCTTCTACCTAAAAGCTTTTGTGGTTTTTGTTGGAATTGAAGAAATCTGATCAAAGATGCTGTTTGAATATCAATGAAGCAAGACATTTGTTGTGTATCGATTTGTATGTGCAAACGTTTAACTTGCATTTTCTGCGATCGTATGCAGCATGAATCAGGGCATTTCCTGGTTGGTTACTTGCTCGGAGTTCTTCCAAGACGCTATGAAATACCGAATTTCGAAGCTATAAAGCAGAATGTGTCGAATGTGACCGGGAGAGTAGAATTTGTAGGCTTTGAGTTCCTCAAAGAAGTAAGTTGTTTGTTCATATTGAAAGGGAAATTGGTCAGTTTGCTTACGTTTTAACTACTAGACTTTATGTTATTACTGCAGGTTGGTGCTGCAAACCAGTTTATGAAAGGTGATGTGGGTCGCCGAATAAATCTATCGGTATGTTAACCAAGTACTCTAGCTGCAGTAAAATGTCACAAACTCAAAATCTTTAGAATGTATTAGTGTTTCTTGAATCGCTCAAAAGTTATTGGCGGATTACCTGTTATTGGCAAATGTTTCTGGGTTTTACCAGTTCGACAACTCACATGTTTTTCAACGATGGACCCGGGCTGGATCAGTGACAGGATCGCCGGTTTACTGGTCCGGTCTTCTTTAAACATTCTTATATATGTTCTATTCTTCTTACCTGTATGGTGTTTTTCTACCATGCAGAGTAATCGAGGCAATATCTCATCCAAGGTAAGATTTCTTGGAACTTACCTGTGAATGTTTTAGCTGAAGCTGTTTCTGTTGTGAGTGGTTGGAAGTTGGAACTGTGACTGCAGACACTGAACAACTTTTCGTGTGTGATACTTGGAGGAATGGTAACAGAACACATACTATTTGGATACTCTGAAGGTTACTACTCAGATGTTGTCAAGGTTATGCAACTCTCAAGTCTCTTTTACTCAGATGCAAAGTTGAGATTATATAATCTTCTGATGTTTTTTTGAGAGATGTGAATATGCAGTTGAACAGTGTTCTGCGATGGCGAGGGTTCACAGAAATAGAAAAGGAAGCTCATATCAGATGTGCTGCTCTAAACACTATCTCCTTATTACATTCTTACAGTGAAGCAAGAGTTTCACTTGCAGAAGCCATGTCTAAAGCCAAACCTATTGGTGCTTGTATTGAAGCCATTGAATCTGCAATTTCCATCCATCAAATATGAACCATACTTTCAATCCTTTTCTATGCTTAAACCCAATTGGTGTGACCTCACACAGAGTGAGACAACAAAGACATTAACCCATACAACTAGGCAACATGTTCTTTTTTTTTCGAGATCAGGCAACATGTTAGTGTTTAGATCATATTATTTTAAATGTTTTCAAAGTGTCAGTCTGTTTAATGAAATCATGATGACGATAAAATCTTGACATTTACTAATTACTATCTCCTTATTACATTCCTACGGTGAAGCAAGAGTTTCACTTGTTGAAGCCATGACTAAAGCCAAACCCATTGGTGCATGTTTTGAAGCTATTGAATCTGCAATTCCCATACATCAAATATGAACCATACTTTCTATGAAGCCAAACCTAATGGTGTGACCTCACAAAGACTCTACTTAACATGTTATGGTGACACAGAGATATTAACCTATACGACAAGGACAACAAGACAACATGTTCTCTGTTGTAATAAATGTCAAGATAGTACCAAACTATCATAATGATTCATTTAACAGCACTTGACTTGATCCCAAACCAAATTCGTTACTAGATTTGCAAACATAGACTTCAAACCACATGAGATCCCAAAAATCTTCTTGGAACAAAACCCAGTCTATTTTACAGGCTAAAATTGAACAAGATAGTAATACATGAAGAATCAAAACTCCTGAGAAGCAGATCCGATATCGCCTTTGTTCTTCCCAACCTTTGATGGGAGAAGTGTCTGATGAATGTTTGGCAAAACTCCTCCATTAGCGATTGTCACACTTCCAAGAAGCTTACTCAGCTCTTCATCGTTCCGCACTGCAAGTTGAATGTGTCTTGGCACGATACGTGTCTTCTTGTTATCTCTTGCTGCATTTCCAGCAAGCTCCAATACCTATTATGAAAATCAGCACCATACGGAGTCAGAATCCAGAGAACAAAAGATGGCTTTAGCATTTAATCGTTATGGAGTCTAAATCATAGACATTACTTAACACAGATGTATACATCAGTAGAAAAACTGTCAAAATCGAGTTGGTATTCATAAAGAAATTGACTTAAGGAAGACATAGGAATTGAAATCATAACTATCGGAATTGAGATATGCAATATCATATTGTTTACGCAGAAATCGAGAAATCAAACGAATGGTTCTCATATAGATCAAGAAAATGACTTATGTAGAAACATGATTTGCATTTGAGATATCAACACCAACGCAAATGAGATATGCAAAATCTAGGGTATACGCAGAAATCGAGAAATCAAATGTGTGGTTCTCATATAACACGATTTGCATTTAAAATCAAAATAAAATACAACTGAGATATATCAAAATCATATGGTTTTGGCTTGTTACGGAAATACAGAAATCAAATGAGTGATTCTCGTAGAGATGAAGATATTACGATTGTATTTGAAATAATAAAACCAAAACACAACTGAAATATCGCAATCTCATATGGTTTGGATTCTAATGGAAGATCGAGAAATCAAGACAACGATTACCGTAGTAATCAAGACGAAAAACAGATTCGCGATTGAAATCAAAATCAAACGCAACTGAGATACCGAAAAATCATATAGAAGTCGAGAAATCAAAGAACTGACTAAAAACCAAAACCATATTTGCATGTGAAATCAAAATCAACATCAACTGAAACATCGCAACTAGACAGGATAGCGAAAAATCAGAAGATTAAAATCGTACCTCCGCGGCGAGGTACTCAAGAACGGCGGAGAGATAAACCGGAGCTCCGGCACCGACACGCTCGGCGTACTTTCCGGCTTTAAGGAATCGGGCGATTCTTCCAACGGGAAACTGAAGACCAGCTTTGCTCGATCTAGAGACGGACTTTGTAGCTTTCGGCTTTCCTCTGCCTCCTTTGGTTGTTCCACTTCCGGCGCCAGAACTCATCTTCTTCTTCGAAAGATACTTTTTTTCGAGAGAAATTGAAGAGGCGAATGAAAATGGCTAGAGAACGGTGAGTGGAGTGATTTTAGGGCTTTGGGGATTTTCCGATATTTATATTGATGCGAGAATGCATTATGATTGGTGGGCAATGAGTCATGCGGATTGCCAGAGTGGCACTTTCACTTGACTTTTCGCGGGTTTTATTTTCGCGTTTTTTGCCAAGAAGACGGTGAAATTTAGCCCTGGCGGGTCACTTGTTTGTTGTTTTTTTCTTTCCTATTGATTAATCATCCAAATAAAACGTATTTACAAGAAAAGAAAGAATTTATGGTTGAAACGAGTGGTGGATCTAGAAAAAAAAATTAGTTGGGAACAAAAATTTTTTTACTACTAAATTAAATTTATTTTAATTAAATTAGCTTAAATATTTAAAAAAAAATAAAAAGAGTAGAGGGCACTGGACCCCATTCCTCCTTACTTATATCCACCCTTGGTTGAAATTATAGAGGGCATCAGACCAATATAGAAAAACAGGGTAGAATAGAAAAACAGAACATCAACTCAGTGATAAAGACTGTTTTAGACGTTATGCCAGCAATTCAACAGTTTTGAATCCACTGCTTCCTGAGACGATGCTGATGATCGGAATCTGTTGCAGATATCTCTATCGATGATATAAATGAGTAGGAGAGTGAAATGAGGAGGGCATTGGTGGCGTTGTCCATTCCTCTAGATCGTAGCCTGTAATGCCAGGCAAGCTATAATAAAATCTAATTTGTTCTTCAGGTTTCGTGAAATTAAGTGTATCATGATCTCCCAATCAGGATTCGTTCTTCCATGTAAGAGCCCTTAAACAAGCCAGTTCCATACAGTAAAAGGCATATGGACACGCAAAAAATAAGTGATCTCTAGTCTCGTTTTCTTTCTCCGCACAAAACATAGTGTTGGACTAAAACCCATTGTCTCATTCTACTTCTCGTGGCAAGTCTGTCTCATATGGCTAACCACATGATGAAAGCATGGTGAGGGATGGATTGCGAGAACCAGACCAACTTGTTCCACCAAACATTCTGGTGAGACTGTCTGATCTGCTCCCACATTGCTTGGGTGGAGAAGTGATCTTTGAAGTCATTCTGATCATGGCGCCATAAAGCTATATCCAGACCTGCAAAAGGGTTCGGTGTTGGATGTGAACAAATGCAGCTTAGAATCTCCTGCAAATGTTGTTCTCTTGCACCGTCGAATCCTCCAGGTCTGATTTTGCACCACTGCAGAAACCATAACATGTCAATCGATTCCTGAAATTCTCGTCCCCGACTCACCTATATATCAATGAGTCTCCCCATAGTCAGCCATTCCCGAAATTCTCTGTCGTTTCTAATTTCATGACGAGTAAAAGGTGCTGTAAGCGGACAAAGCTTCAACAACTTTTTCCAGATCCAAGAGCCTCAAGACCCCTCTGGAACATCCCAAGAGGATGAGTGTCGAAGAAGGTAGTGTCGAGTCCAACTGACCGATAGCGATTATGGATTGGCGAACAATCTCCAAATCAACTTCAAAGCAAAGACTCTAGAGGAGTCTTTCATTCGTCGAATACCCAGACCTCCTTCTTTCTTCGGCTTACATATATCATCCCATGCCACTTTTTCTTTGGAAGAGTTGTGTGGAGAGGCGGACCACAAAAAAGTAGAGCACATGCTTTCTATAGTGTCAAAACAGCGCTTCAGAGTCAGAACGCAGCGCACCAAAAGTTTGTAATACTGGCTATGACAGATTGAATGAGTTGAAGACGCTCCGCAAAGGAGAGTGACTTACTAGACCAAGAAACCATATGAGTGAAAGTTCTGTCAATCAGCGGCTCATAGTCCAATCTAGTCATGCTCATACTCATAAGAGGCAGTCCGAGGTATCTGATTGGCAGCTATTCTAGAGGGAAACTGATGCTGCTAGAGTTGATGTCGCAGGAGAAATGTTAAATTTATAAACTCTAGTATCTGCAAGTGCACAGCAGTGCGTTGTAGCATTTACGGATCGATCCACTGAAGATCAAGTAACTGCACTACGAATTTACTTGAGATGAGAATTGAGCTAAGATGAAAAATATAGGTGTTTGTTTGGGAGTTGTGAACAGTGCCAAAAATAATGACTATTAAATTTGAAAATAAGTTAATACTAAGATCAAATCAATACAAGAAAGCATTGGGCATTAAGGATTTTGTCAGGAATTATAGATTAGCTAACAAGATAATCAGATGTAATTTTTTTGATAGATATGTTCTGAACCAAGAATAATCTACTCCCATAGTATCAATCAGAAATTCAAGACACTTAGATTACTGAACTCTCGTTCATTCTCTAAGTATCTAAATAAGTTTAGGTGATTCAGCAACACTTTCAGTGAGTTAATCAACCTGATCGCAGTAGCTAGGTTGTCAATCAAGCCACAACACACGAACACAAATTCAGACTAAGAACTTCTAAAGATAAACCCTAATCTATCAAACTATTAATCAATCTATAAATTCTCTTTGAAAATCCCTTAAAATCCAACTAAGAAACTACTCAGACCTAGTGTAACAAAACATCATAAAAGTATTAAGGGTTACTGGAAAGTGAATAGAAGAAAAGTAAGAATGAAAGACAGAGGTAGAGATGGAGGTCTGATGGTGCTCTTCTCGGCGGCTCCTCCTTGAGACTTCTAAAATTGAACACACTCTCTTTGAATGACCTAAAAGAGGTATATATAGTTTATGGAGTCTTCGGGAACGTCTAAAGTTTGCAGAAATAATAACGGAAATGAATTATGCTTAAATATGGGCTGCTAAGGCTCGGAAATAGGCCCACTGTGGTTGATAAAGTCACGGCCGCGGGTGGGAGTGAACTCGGCTTCCAAACTGTGTTGATTTACCTTCAACTCACCAAGCATATCCGGAGATCTAACCGTTGGATTATTTCCATTCCAATTGTATTGGAAAGTTGGTTTTCTCCTCTATATTATGTCCAAATTTGGGGATGATCAGACGGTGAGAAATCCTCAGTTGTTGCCAATTTTATGACGGTTTGAATTTATCCTAACTTGTACTTTTGCTCCAAAATGCATTTTTTGTCCAAATATCCTGAAAATTCTTTTGAATCTTTAAAACATGGAAATCAATTAAAAACCATTGAAAACTAAGTTAAAAAACCTGAATAAGATCTTAAAATCATCCATAAAAGTTGGTCAAAATACGGTGTTATCAACTCTCCCAGACCTGAACCTTTATTTGTCCTCAAATAAAACAAAAATTAAAGTCAGGAAAGAATCTTAAAATCTCATGAACTAAACAGTATCTTAGTGACTGTCCTTCTAAACCTTGACCAACATAATGCATCTATTGGGTTTAGCCAAGAAAATTCTCACCAAAATAAAAACATCACTAGTCCATTGATCTGTCATGCAAAAATCTACACACTTAGATCTAACTTCTAGTCAACTAGCTCTTAACATTCATTAACAATTCCAGTGGTTCTCGTCAAAGGGAAATAAACACGGTAATCAAGTCTAGGTATTCAAAGGAATTTTATTGGTGGAGTTTAAAATGTTTAGGATTACCGTAATTTCTGAGGATGCAAGATATTATGCAAAACTACAAGAGAGGATGAAGCTGTTGATATCCACAGTTTCCAGTCACTTCCTCTTTATCGTAAACTCACTGATCTTCTTCCTTAAGTTCTCCTCATAACTCCCCCAGACTTAGATTTTTGTCTAGGTCATAACCTTATATCCCCCATGAGTGAATACTGGTTGCCTTGGCTCTAAAATTTGTGACTATCTAAGACTCGTTTGTTTTTTTTTCCTTTCTTTTATTCTTTTTCTTTCTTTTTTTGATTTTTTTTTTTTGAAATGGGAAACACCTTTAGATATAGAGTCTTAGATAACACAAAAATTACCAATAATAATGAGGTTTCTGAGGCATCACGACGCTAGATAAGACGCTGGCACACTTCCTCCCCCAAATTCAATTCAGTATTTCTCTTGATTAACTGAAAACTGTGTCGTTCCTCCCTATCCGGTATTTTTGCACATATCTGCTGATAAAAACTAAAGAGAGAATGCATGAGGTTCAAAAATAAAGGTTTGGGTTAAGGGTACGTACTAGCTAAAGATGAATTGGCTATCCAGGACAACAATGTGAGGTGAAAAATGAAGAAGATGTCCTGGATATATATCTTGATGCATGCCTATAATCCATGATGAGAAAATTAGATATCAAATTAAGTCCAAATAAAATGAGTTCGTATATCCTTTCAGAATGGTGGGAATTCATAGTGCAAGTACTCTAACCACCGTCTAGTCTAGTTGTAAACCACAAAAGGGCTAGCATGAGGAAATACTGTAGAAGCACATTGATCGAAATCATCATATAAATGTTTCTTGTGTTCCTGTTTTGAAAACCTTTTGAAAAACTTTTTTATGAAAAATATTTAATGAAAAACAAACTCAAAACAAACAAATTTCGTTAGTAAAGGATAGACATCCTCCCCCAGACTTAAATCACACTGTCTCTAGTGTAAAAAATCTATGAGCGGACGAGATATAAATGGATTAAAATTTGAAATATATATTTAGGTGTACTTACCTTGCAGTGTGCCGCGGTGAGGTGTACGCAGCCGCAGTGATGCTAGGTTTTCTGGTTTGTGATTTCTGCTCATCTCTTATTCTTTCTTTGCCTAGAAACCTGAAATAAAAAGAAACAAAACAAGAGGGTTTCCTCCCACTAAGCGATTGCTTAAAGTCATTAGCTTGACTTTGTCGTCTTTTAAGCGTTAGGTGCGTCTACTAAGGAAATTGGATCTTCTTGTCTTCTTCAATGTCTGCAAGATATGGCTTAAGACGTTGTCCATTGACAGTGAAGTCGCCTCTTTGACGGTTCCAGAGAACCAAAACACCGTATGGTAGAACCTCTTTGATCTTGAAAGGTCTAGACCATCGCAATCTAAGCTTCCTGGGAAAGAATTTTAGACATGAGTTGAAGAGTAGAACTTGATCATTAGGTGAGAACGTCCTAGAAACTATCTTCTTGTCATGGTATGCTTTAGTTATCACC